GACCCCCTGCCGCGGCCCCCCTCCCCATGCCCTGGACGCCCGAAATGGGTACGGAAAGAATGGGTACAATGCCCAACAGCAGTTCCTGTTCATTTTGAACAGGACTCGCTGTCCGCGCCGCCGCGGCCTGTGTCCAGTCGAGTCAGAGGGCCCTCTGCCCAGCAGCGGCCGCTGTTGGTTTGGGACAACATTTGTTGTTGGGCACAGTACCCATTTTTTCCGTGCCCATTTCGGGCGTCGAAACATGCAGAGAGAAAGAGAGCGAGAGAGAGAGAGGACGCTCCAACAAAAATTGGAGCGGCGGGTGTGGGGCCGCTTCTGTCCCGAGGGGGCCCTCGCCGGGCCTCGGGACGAACAACGGGCCCCAGGGAAGTGGTCCAGACCTCAGGGGACCACGCGGCGACGCAATTGGAGCGGCCAGATGTCTGGGTCGGCAGCGATTTGTGGATCGCTCCCGAGCCGGGTCTCGTTTCGCACTCAAGTTTCCATCGCAGCAGGGTTGTGTTGTCGTCTTTGAGCCGTTCACAGTCGGGCCGGAGAGACGAGGAACGATCAGTAAGGAGCGACGCCCCTTCCTTGGCCCCCAGAGCGCATGTGTGTACAAGGTTGGCCACTGGAGGAACAGCCATGGAAGGACCGAAGGAACATCGCTCCCCTGCCGACCCACAGTCAACACGCCAAGCAAGGGGACGCGTCTTCGTCTAGGGTATATATATATATATATAAAAGCTAAAATAGCTGTGCCTGGCGATGAAAAAAAAACATTTTTTTACATCAAAAATAAGTAAAAAGCTGTGCCAGGCAATTTTCACTGGTCGCCCGCCGCCCAAAACGTCCCCATTTCGGCCTCCAAGGGTCTTGCGTCCTTACTACTCTTCCTTGACCCACGTTTTGACTGCAATCAATCCCTCATGCCAGCGCCTTGAGTCAAGGCGCTGGCATCGCGGCGCGCCCTGGCATCGCGTGCCCTCGTCCCACGAGGTGGAGGCACACAGCAGACGATGACCATGGCCAAGCTGTCTCGAGATTTCGTCGATGCCGATCGTGGTCTTGGTCCATCAGTGAAGGAAAAGCCACCCCGATCGCGATATTTATCACGTGCCAAACGGCCTTGGGCGCTTATTTGACAGCCCAGCCCTGCTCGATTCCTTCTTTGAATGCGTTTATCAAATTGCTTCGCTTGTCGGGGTACTTATTCTGTGAGTGGATTATCTGCTCTCCAGTCAATGCTTGCCGTCGCCATTCGCGGAGATGATCCGGAAGTTGACTGTGAACAAGATGCACGATAACCATGGCCGACACCAGCATTTCCGCCCTCAGTCTTGGTCATGGTCCTCTTTGTATCCCCCTCCAACATTTCCGCCTTCAGTCTTGGCCACGGTCCTCGTTGTATCTCCCTCCATTCGGCGCCGGGATTTCCGCGTTCAGTCCTGGACATGGTCCTCGCTTCGCCCCCCGCCATTCCCGCTCCCCCGACCACTTGCCCTGTGCGGTCGTCTGTGGAGCGGCGTTTCCTGCCGATGCCCGCCGACTCTGTGTCGCTGCCGACTCTCGGCCGGTGCCTGCTGGTTCGGTGTCTGGATCGATGTGGCTCGATGTTTAGGTTCTTTGTCAACTCCTTAGTTGGTCCTGAGCAGCGCCTGGGGTGGTTTCTTTCCGCTTTCCATGTGCTCTTGCCTCGACTCAGAACGGCACCCCAGAAAGTGGTCGTCGGGCAGGCATCATTGTGATGCCGATTTTACCATGTTTGGGGAATGTTTTCTAATGCGTGAACGCACTGCGTTGCATTTCTTTACATACTGCTCAGATGAGGAGGAGGAGGAGGAGGAGGAGGAGGAGGAGGAGGAGGAGGAGGAGGGGGGAGGGAGGGGCGGGAGAGACTAACGCTACGATCACATTCGGTCTAAGTGTGCATGACGTCAACAAAAGCACAAGGAGAGAGATTGAGGAGAGAGATGGAGGAGAGAGATGGAGGAGTAGGACGAGGAGGAGGAGGAGGAGGAGGAGCAGGAGGTAGAGGAGGAGGAGGATGAATGACTGGGGCGACCACGAAGGCGGGGAGCGCGACGGCGAAGACATGGAGGATGAGGAGGAGGAGGAGGAGGAGGAGGAGGAGGAGGAGGAGGAGGAGGAGGAGTTGGAGGAGTTGTAAGAGGAAGAGGAGGAGCCGCGGCTAAGGCCAGCCATTACGCAAGCGCCAGCTTCTGTACACAGACGGTCGGGCAGCGGGGATGGTGCCGGGGAGGCGGGGGGGAGCAGGGCAGACGGGCCCGACACAGGCGAGCCCATGATATCCTGGCACGCCTCACAGCGCTCCCCAGCACTTTTGCTGCTTTCAACATACCGCGTGCTCCTTGATTTTTGAGTAGCATCTGCGGAGGTTGGATGCATATTAGATGGGACAAGGAACACACAACATTATATCGGACCCCGTGAACTACAGGGAGTGGCCCCACCGCCTTTCAGCTTCCGCTTTCTGCTTTCCGCTGCCGAGTCGTGGCCCGGCTAAGAGTTTGGACGCTTTTTGACCCGTTTCACGAGGCCGCTGACCCAAAACAGTATCCCCACCAGCCCATTAAGAAGCCCTGCCTATGAACGCTGACGGGAAAAAGGGACGAAGAGACACATCTAGGGAAACAAAGCGAGCAACCAGGGTGAACCGAGAGACCTTTGGGAGCAAGGGGTGGCCTTGGAAGGCCTCTTCGGGCCATCCCTGGGGGCCGCGTGGGTGTGAGGGGGCTGAGGAGGAGTAGCAGGAGAAGGATGAGGACGATGAGGGATAGGAGGACGAGGGCGCGGATGAGGACGAGGACGAGGAGGACGAGGACGAGGACTAGGATGAGGACGACGCGAGGACTCATGGAACCATCTGGAGGTATTCTTGCGGCTGCTGCTGCTGCTGGTGCTCTCTGGGAGTTTGGGGTGCCCTCTTGGAACCCGCTTGGTAACTCTGGAGGGCTTTTTGGGGATCATCTTGGAGGCCATCGATTACAGGACGGGGGGGTCCCCAACTCAGCCCCCCTCTCAGGAGCCTGCAACCCGCTTCTTTGGGCTCTCTTGGAGCGCTCTTGGGCGCTCTTGGAGCGGTCTTAGGGGCCGTTTGGAGCATCTTGGGAGCCATCTTGAGCCAGCTTGCGCTATGTGAGCCATCTTTTAGATCATCTTCGGATCTCTGAGGCCGCTCGAGGGCCTTTGGGGGGCCTCTCGGGTGCCTCTTGGGGCTCACTTGGGACCCTCATGGAGGCCTCTTGGGGCTCTCTTGAGGCTCTCTTGGGAGCCCTGAAGCGCCTCTTGGGGCCATCTTCGAGGCTATCGCTCAAAGGAGGGAAGCTCCCGATCGAGGTCCCCGCCTCGGGGGCCACGATCCTCGTGAGGGGTGTCAAAGATTGGCCCTCCCAGGGGCTGATGAAGGGCCCTCCAACCATCCGCGACCCCCCCCAAAAAAAGTCCAGGGAAGGAGGTAGGGAGAGGGGTCAAGACCCCCTCCCCGCCCGCAAGCCGTCTCGCTCACTCCCACCCGCCCTCCCAACACATACGTAGCACCCGAGTCTGGCCCGAGCCTCAGCATATTCAGCAGTCGTCTTTGGCTGGCAGCTACTGGGGGCCAATCCGCCGCCGCCGCCGCCTCCGCCGCTGCCGCCTCCGCCGCTGCCGCCGCCGCCGCCCGCCGCTGCCCGCCGCGCCGCCGCAGCCGCAGCCGCCGCCGCCGCAGCCGCAGCAGCCGCAGCCGCAGCAGCCGCCGCCGCCGCAGCCGCCGCAACCGCCGCCACCGCCGCGTGTACTTTGTATTGATTTTTGATGGGGATGGTGGGGGGAGGCCGCATCGGGTTGGCTGCGCATGCTCAGAATTTGGAGGCCGAATGTGTTTTGTTTGGTTTTTTCACGTGGTGGTGGTTGGGGGGACCCTCATGGTTCCTGGTTGGCTACCAGTCAGTCGCCTGGGGGAGGGGGGTGCTTATTGATAGGGAACAGTGATACACCCTTCGCCGAAAAGGGGAATGGGGTTTTTGGATGATGAAAACAAGCAATCCCGTTAGAACACCTACGCCCAGAAGGCTGGTGGGATTCTAGGCCGGACCTCGCGTATACCAGCCTCTCAACAAGAGTTTACCTTGCAGCCTTAATTCGAGCGCCAGCGCTTTCCAAACACAACCACAGCCTACCATCGTCCAGCCAGTACCGATCTGGCTAGTTGATCCGCAAATTTAAGCCAGCCGCTCTGCCATTACGCTCGGGTGGTGCATCTTGCAAATCAGGATCTTGTCCGCGAGCAGCACTTCTACTAATATTTGCAGGCAGCGGCCATTTTGGCATGTACGCCGGGGGTGAGCTTTGGGGCATACACAGCTGTACACCACTTACCACAGTACCTTCTAGTTGCGTTTTCTCATGCGGCTTCACTGTGTTGACCTGTTATTATAATTGCGCCCGGTAGCGCGTTTGTAATGTTCTGCTGCGTCCCTTGACCAGCTATGGTGGTACTGCACTGTGGGCGAATACATTTAAATGTTTTTTTTTTTTTTCTTCTGGGGGGATCGGGGGAACGGACATTCAGCCATGTTGGCCTTCGGCGGGAAGGGCATCTGCCATATTGTGGGCCGCCGTCCTCTGCCACCTCCCACCACGCATCCACGCAACGCCATCGTTCAAGCCTGCTTTCAGCCAGAAGGCCAGCCGATATGTTTGCGCCAGCAGGGCAGCAGGAACTGCCACCATTTTTAGCACGACGCTCAGCGCTGCCGTTTTGGTGGCCATCTTTGCATGGAAGGCGAAGGTGGGAGGTTTGGTTCGTTGGGGGTGAGAGTGAGATGGGAGTGCCCTACAGCGTGCCAGCCCAGTCACCTGGAATTGCCGCTTCGCCGAAGCCTTAGAGGACGATGCAACCCAACATTTGCACGTGCATGCCAACCTCTCCCTCGTTCGGCATCCTTCTTCGTATGTTGTCCAGGTGCGCGATGTCGAGCTCATCCCCCCTCCATATCGGCGACGTGCGCCGTCATTGTGCGCTCGTGTGGGCCGCAGCTCTTTACACTTACTCGTTGTATCTCCTGTGCCGCACGGGTCTGCCGCCTAATTCGACGTACTCCGTCCAGCGGTGCGTTAAGTCGGTACATGTTGTTTGCACCATGTGCCGCGCGAATGGTGCGATCATCAAGCTTAGATTCTGGCCAACGCCAAGAAGAAGGAGGGGGACGAGGAGGAGGAGGAGGTAAAAGGTAAGGAGCTCTCGTGCTTGAAACCTGATCGGCGCCGACACGCGGGAAACAAAGAGGAGGTGGCGGAGGAAGAGACGGAGGAGGAGGCGAGGGAGGATAACGCGGAGGAGGAGGAGGAGGAAGAAGAGGAGGATGAGGAGGACAACGGGCAGGAAGTGGCGGATGTGGGAGGTGGAGGAGGAGCAGCACCAGCATCCAGCAGCAAAGGTGGTGGTAGCTGGCGACGAGCACGACAACGCGCGGCCCCCCCGCAGGATCTCCGTCTTCATGGACCAGGTCAAGATCGACGCTACGATCCCAGCCGATCTAAGTTTGCCTAACGCCAACATCAGGAAAAAGGGGGAGGATCAGAAAGAGGAGAAGGATGAAAAGGTGGAGGAGGTGGAGGAGGAAGAAGAGGAGGAGGAGGAGGAGGAGGAGGAGGAAGAGGAGGAGGGAGGTGGAGGAGGAGGAGAAGGAGAAGGATGAAAAGGTGGAGGGGGAAGGTGGAGGAGGAAGAAGAGGACAGGGAGGAGGAAGAGGAGGAGGAGGAAAAGGAGGAGGAGGAGAAAGGGGAGGAACGCGCGGAGAGAGAGGAGGACGGACGTGGAGGAGGGCCAGCAGCAACATCCAGCAACAACGGTCTCGGCGGCTGGCGGCGCGCACGACGACGGGGGGCGGCCCCCGCAGGCACCCCTTCGCCATGGGCCAGGCCAAGTCTGACGCTACAATCCCAGTCGATCTAAATTTGCCGAGCGTCAGAATTAGGAACGGGGTGGAGGAGCAGGAGGAGGAGGAGCAGGAGGAGGAGGGAGAAGAAGAAGAAAACGAAGAAGGAGAAGAAGAATAAGAAGAAGAAGAAGAAGAGGAGGAGGAGGAGGAGGAACGGGAGGAAGAAGGACAGGGGTGCGACAACGGAGGCGGCCCCCCGCAGGCTCTCCATCGCCATGGGCCAGGCCAAGATCGATGCGCAGCAGGCGCTGGGCATCATGGTCGCTGCAGGCCCCTCGCGCTGCACCCCGGGTGGCGAACGGATGGGCGCGAGGCGAAACCGACGGCGGGCCTCAGTATTCGACCTTCGAGTTGTTTTTGCCGTTTTCGGGCAATCTCTGCGGTTTTCCGGCTTCGGGGCGCGCTGCGCAGCTTTTTGACGATGCCCAGATCATCATGGACGGCCGCAGGAGGACCGAATTCTGACCCGGAGCCTGACGACGAGGATCGTGGAGGAGCGGGCGGGGCTAGGACGAGGATGCATCCGTTCCAGAACATGCCAAAACGTTTTCGGAGCGTTCCGGATCGCTATGAGAAAGCCTTTGCGCCCGAGACATCCTGCAGAGCCGCCGGATGTCAGAGGCTCTCGATTGTGAAAACCGTGCGGCCAGTGCCGCCCACCCACAACGACGATGACCACAATGATCATTACCACGACCGCGGCGACAACGACAATGATGACCACGACGAGACGACAAACATTTGATGTACAGTTATCTTCGCCCGTGCTTCGGGTTGGGTGGGCGTCGCAGCCCTCTCCACCCCCTTTCGTGGCAGCCTCGACAAGCGAGGTGGCTAAGAAGGCATGCCCCCCCCCGGGAAGTAGGAGGAAAAGGAGGAAACCGGACGAGGAGGAGGAATATGATGGTGATGGTGATGGCATGCTCATCGAAGCGGTGACTGAAGGAAGCAGAAGCCAGAGACAACAAATGAACAAGAAAACCCAACATGTGAATTCAAGTGGCCCGAGCTCGGTCCCGGCCGCCCAGCGCGAGGAGCAGCTGATGAGGAGGAGGAGGAATACGAGGGGGAGGAGAGGGAGGAGGAGGAGGAGGAGGGGAATAAGGAGGAGGAGGATGAAGATGAGCAGGAGGGAAAGGAGGAGGAAGAGGAGGAGGAAAAGGAGGATGAGGACGATGATGAGGGGGAGGAAGAGGAAGAGGAAAAGGAGGCGGAGGAGAAGGAGGAGGAAGAGAGGAGAGGAGGAGGAGGAGGAGGAAGGGAGGGAGGGGGGGAGGAGGAGGAGGAGGTGGAGGTGGAGGTGGAGGAGGTGGTGGAGGAGAAGGAGGAGGAAGAGGGGAATGAGGAGGAGGAGGAGGGGGAGGAGAGAGGAGGAGGACGAGGAAGAAAACGACGAGGATGACGAGGACGAGGAGGGGGGCGAGGACGAGGAAGAGGTGGAGGACGAGGGAGAGGAGGAGGAGGCTCTCAGAGGCGGCGCGATCCTGATGGTGGTCCTGGACAGCACGGTGTCGCAGGCCTTCGACGCGGAGACCGACAGCAACTGGGTGCCGCCGCCGCCGCCGCCGCCTTGCAAGCCGCCGCCAGTCTCTGCCACCCGCCCCCCACTGCCCACCTCCCTCCTCGCTCCGTTCCTCCTTTTGGCAGGCCCAGGGCCGAGATACGCAGGAGTCTTGGGGCCCTTCCTCCGGCCCCCAGGGGAAGGACAGAGCCCAAGAGTGAGGCCCTCGGGGGCCTCTTGGGGGACCCTCTGGGGGCCTCCTTGAGGGCCTTTTAGGAGTCGTCGGGCCTCCCGGGGGGGGTTCTTGGGCGCCCGCTGGCGGTCTAGGGGGTCCCCTCGGGGCGGAGGGCTTGCCGACCTCCCTCTTCGCCCCGTCCCCCCTTCGGGCAAGCCCACGGCCGAGATGTGACACCAACCTGCATCTTGAGGATACGCGACTTCCCAAGGCTGCCCCTGCATCCTTCACCTTCGGCCCGTCCTTGGCCTCTTTCGCTGGCCGCGCCCCGCACGCCAAGTGCCGGCATGGCCTTCCGAGGCACTTGCGTGCTTATCGTGCGTCCTTATTCGACGGGTTGACTGTAGGGGAGGGCCAGTTGAGGCAGCGGTAGCTTGCTTTTGGGGGGAGCCCTCGTCGTCCCGGCTGGACGCAGCTCGGACACACGGCACGGTCGGACCGAGGGAAAAAGATCGAGGGGTACCCTGACGCTCTTCGTACTTGTTGGGTTCTTTTGTGCATCCTGGGGGAGGGTACCGTCCCTCGAATGCTCGTCAGGTTGGCCGCTGGAGGCCCTCGTGCTCTTGAAGGCTGTCCTTCTGCCCTAGATCCGGCCGTGCAGCGGGACCCCGAAGGGGGTCCGAGGATCGATTCTTGTTGACCTCCGCCGAGGGAGGAAGCCCAGGCCCCGTCGCGCCGCCGCGGCGAACATCGTGGTGCTCTTGCTTGTGTAGATCCTGCCCTCGGCCTCCCAGGGGGGGGGCCCTGCGTGGGCGCCGGGGCCGTTCAACATCATCATCCTCCTCCTACTCCTCCTCCTCCTCCTCCTCCTCCTCCTCCTCCTCCTCCTCCTCCGCCCTCCTCCTCCCTCCTCCTCCTCCTCCTCTTCCTCCTCCTCCTCCTCCTCCTCCTCCTCCTCCCCCTCCTCCTCCTCCTCCTCCTCCTCCTCCTCCTCATCATCATCATCATCATCATCATCATCCGCCGCCGCTCGCTCGGGGCGTAAGGAACGGGGGTCGGCCAGGCCGCGGGATGTTGCAGGATCCTGCAGAGCCAGGGGTGCAGCGACCCGGGTGAGCGTGCAGGATCTTGTAGGACCTTGCAGGATCTGGCAAATCAGGAGGGAAAAAAAACACAGACACTATTAATCCTCGATTCCCAGGAAAATATAGGAAAATATGGGAATTGGGGGAGAAGACAAAAACCCAGAAAATATGGGAAAATATGGGGACTAATTTTATTTGTGTGTATTTATTTGTGTGTCCTAATTTCCCTTTAGCAAAGCCCGACTGACCCGGGCTGGCATTGACCCGGGAGAGAAGCCGGTGCAGGCGAGTGGGTGGAGACTTCCGAGGGTCGACGTTGCGACAAAGTCATGACGTCGGGGTCCGTCGGACGGGGCAGGGGCGAGGATAAATCCGCTCCAGAGCGTTCCTGGACGCTCTCGGAGCGTTTCGGAGCGCTCTGAGGATGCCGCGGCGCCCCGCTCCCGAGACATCCTTCAGAGCCGCAAGATCTCTCAGAGGCTCTCGATCGTGAAATTAAGTCTTGCGGCCGGTGCCGCCGACCCAGAGGGACGACGACGACGACCACGACGACGACGACCACGACGACGACCACACCGACGACCCCGACGACAACGAGCTGGCGAGCTGGCTTCGTCTTGGGGGGGGGGGGGCCTCGCAGGCCTCCTCCCCCCGCCCCCTTCGTGGCAGCTTCTAGGGGCGAGGTGGCGAAGAGGGCACGCGCCCCCCCTTCCCCCCCCGGGAGGAGGAGGAGCAGGAGGAGGAGGAGGAGGAGGAGGAGGACGAGGACGAGGAGGCGGAGGAGGAGGAGGAGGAGGAGGAGGACGGAGATGTATCCTCGCCCGCTCTTGTCCTCGTCCTGGCTTCGTCTCAGGGTCGAGGCCTCCGCGGGCCGACGCTGCACCGGGCTCACGAAGCGTGGGCGTCTTGTCAGGAGGGGGAAAAACACAGACACAATTAATCGTCGATCCCCCAGAAAATATGGGAAAGTATGGGAAGTGGGGGGGAAGACAAAAACCCAGAAAATATGGGAATCTATGGGGATTATTTTTATGTGTGTGTATTTATGTGTGTGTCCTGGGGCCCCTTCATCTTGGCCCGTCGCCCTCCTCTGCTCCGCCCCTCCGCCCCCCGCCACGCAGGGGGCAGCCCCCGGGCGCTTCCCGGGGCCCTCCACGGGCTCTGGGACCGTCCAAGAGTCGGGGGCGGCAGGGAGGGGGGGGGGGGTGATAGGGGGGGGGGATCTCATGGCGTGGGCCAGGATGTTTCCGCAGTTCCACATGGCGCCTCGTCTTGTTTCATTACGTCCCTGGCCCCCCCCTGGGCCGCGCACGTGCCGCCGGCCATGATTTGCGCCCCCCCCCCCCCCCCCTCTTTGACGCCCCCCTCTTGGCCGCCCCCGAAACAGGCACGGACCGGTCGCAGAACGCGAGTATCAGCGGCGATTCGAGGTCACAAAGAAGAGTGCTGCATCGTGCAAAGAGCTCCACCAGAGCCGCGGGCACGAGCTTCCAAAGGGAGACGGAGGAGGAGGAGGAAGAGGAGGAGGAGGAGGGAGGAGGAGAGGAGGAGGAGGAGGAGGAGGAGGAGGACATGAAGATCGTGTCCATGGCTCCAGTCGAATGTTCTACTCTCGAAGAGTTCCTGCCGACTTCTTCGAGCCCGAGCGATCGGGGAAGGCCCCGGGGCCCGACGAAACCACGGGACATCGGCCGCTGGGAAATGAAAATGCAACGCCACGATCTCAGGGGTTGTGGGGCCCCCGATCCGCGTCTTCCTCCTCCTCGTCCTCCTCCTCCTCGTCCTTCCCCCCAGGTCCTGCGGGCAGCGGTTCCTGAACCCCAAAGCCTTCCCTCGGGACCACCTCTGCATCCGGAGCCGTTCCCCAGAAGAGTCCCGGGACCTATGGAGGGCGCTGGGGAGCCCACATCGGCGAAAAACTTTGGGACCCTTCTCTTGCTCAGAGCCCGCTTCCTTCGTGGCGAGGGAAAGTGGTTGGCGGCGAGCGAGGGGGGGAAATGAGAAGGGGCGGGCCTTCTCAGAAGGCTCAGAACTGTCCTGACCTTCTGACAAGTTTTCTAAGCCCTAGCCGAAGACACAGAAAACCTCTCAGAAGGCCAGAGACCTTTTCAGAAGCCCCCCCGCCATCTGAGAGGGCCTTCTCCTTCTCACTTGCCCCCCCTCGACCGCAACCCAGGAGGGGCGGAGTGAGGGGGGAGATCACAGTGGGGGGCCGAGCGAGGGAAGGTCTGGGCCCGTGGCCCCCAGCAGTTTCGACCCATGCGCCGAGACAGGTCCTTCATCCTGCCTGGGTGCCAGTCGGACGGGAGCAGAGGGCACAGAGACACGAAGTAGGAAGGCGCCGGCAGGGCCGCGGCAACTGCGCCCGCTGTGCGGCGGGCCCAGCGGCGGGCCCGCGCGGCGCCGGCAACATGGGCAGCGCCGCGCGGCGCGCGCCGCGGGGCGGCCAAGCTTAGGGGGGTTAACGATCTGGGCCAGGTGGGCTCCGCCCACTTAGCCGAGTTATCGACCCATCCTAAGCTACTTAGGGCACTTGTAACCCACTTATAAGCCAGGTTGGGCCAGATATAACCCACCTTGGCATCCACTTGTAACCCCCCTATCCACTTAGGAACCCCCACGGCCATCCCAGTAGTGGGGAGGGGGCGGTGTCCTGCCGGGGGCCATGCTACGTGTTTCAGCACGTCGTTTCGTCTTGCCAGACGTCCCCAGGCATTCGTATCTCAGCACGTTGCCCTTCAGGGTCGTGCTTCAGTGCGTCCCGCGATGTCGTGGCGCCTCTGCGTGTTTCCATGAGTCCCGTGGGCTACCCCGAGGGCCGCGCACATGCTGCGGGGTCGGTTCGGGGAATGTGCCCCCATGTTCTTCGTGCTTGCTGGTGTTCTTGTGCATCCTGGGGGAGGGAGGGTACCTTCGAGCGATCTTATGGGTTGGGGTGTTTTTGGCCAGCGGACGGTCCTATGCTCTTGAGGGACGTGCTTCTGTCCTAGGTCCGACCGTCTGGCGGGCTTTCGCCATTGTCGGCCTCTGGGGGCCCTTCGTAGGCTCCCTGGACGGTCAGAGCGCCTTGAGCAGGCCCAAGACGGCGCTCGCGCGCAGGCTGCCCGCGCGAGGCCACGCCTATAGGCGGCCTCTCTGCCGCGCGCGCGCGTGGTCGGCGCCGCCCCAACACCCCAGTCTTAGATGTGCGTTGCCCCCCTGGGGGCGACGCGCGCACCGAGAACTCTCATAGTATGTGCGCCGTGGCGGGCGCTTTCTGGCCACGCCGCTCGGGCAACGATCTGCCACAGGATGGGTATACTATACCTTCGGGTCGGACTGTTGCCTCCAAGGAGGACGTACGGTGGGGGCGCGCATCAAGAAACCATACGCTTTTCGTCAGGGTATCCCGGGTTTCTTCGCTCCGCGCGCTGCGCGGTGACTTCCCGCGGCCGTTGAGGAAGCTGCTGCGTTCAGGGTGCTCCCGGTTTCCCCTCAGGCGCGCCCCGCGCGCGGGTCTTCAGGGTTGGGTTCCTTGCGAGGGTTGCTTGCGGCCGCGCCCGCACTGTACGGTATTTGCATGTCTCGGTGCGTCCCCCGGCGCGCCTCCGCGGGAAGCCGCCCCGGCGTCATCCGCGGCACGTCCCTCGAAGGCACGCGCGGCGGCCTCTGCGGGAAGCCGCCGCGCGGCATCTGCGGGAAGCCGCCCCGGCGGCATCTGCGGCGTGCCTCCGCGGGAAGCCGCCCCGGCGTCCTCCGCGGCACGTCCCTCGAGGGCGCGCGCGGCGGCCTCTGCCTCCGGCCCCCCCCGGGGCGCCCGCGGGCCGCGGCCTCGGCCCCGCGCGGCCCTCGGGGAGGGTGCCCCTCGGTCGCTGAGAGCAGGTGTTGCGGGATCCTCCTCCTCCATTCCTCCTCCATTCCTTCTCCTCCTCCCCCTCCATTCCTCCTCCATTCCTCCTCCTCCTCCCCTCCTCCTCCCCTCCTCCTCCTCCTCCTCCTCTCCTCCTCCTGTCGTCTCCTTTTCCCCCTCCTCCTCCTCCTCCTCCTCCTCCTCCTCCTCCTCCTCCTTGTCCTCCTCCTCCTCCTCCTCCTCCTCCTCCTCCCTCCCTCCTCCTCCCCCCTCCCCCTCCTCCTCCTCCTCCTCCTCCACCTCCCCCCTTCCTCCTCCTCCTCCTCCTCCTCCTCCTCCTCCTCCGCCTTCTCCTCTTCTTCTTCTCCCTCCTCCTCCTCAGCCTCCTCCTCCTCCTCCTCCTCCCAGATTCTGGCCTAGTGCGCAGCATGTCTTGACCTGAACGCTGTTTGGCCGGACGTCGGCTGTGTTCTGTTGTTCGTTTCGGCAGGGAGGTACACGAAAACAGGTAGAGCAACATGAAAACCATAACGAAAACGAAACGAAAAGCAACGTTTGGGTCCAGCCCTGGTGTACAATGAGGCTGGATGCACGTGACGACCCCGGCAGATGCGTCCCCGACAGATGAACGACCTAGGTCCAGAACCTGTGTCCTTCAGCACACCACTTTGTTCACCTCCTCCTTTCGCCCCCTTCAGGTGGCGAAGTTCGCAAGCCACGTGGTATTCTGCTTGGGCATCTTGGAGGGGGAGGGGGGTCGGCATGGGAACAAGGGACTATTAGAGGCGGGCCAGGGTGTCGCCTGCAAGATGAGGAGTGCAGCTCAGCATGAGGAAGAGAGGTAGGACGACGACGTCGACGTCGACTACGACTGTGTCGCTGGTCTCTGTTGTTGACGACGTCGACGTCGGTGAGAACGTCGATGTCCTGATGATGAACGGCGACGGCGACAGCGACGGCGACGGCGACGGCGACGGCGACGGCGACGACGACGACGACGACCATGATGAGGACGAAGTGGAGGACGAAGTGGAGGATGAGGAGGTTGACGGCGGCGTAGATGGCTTTGATATAATCGCGATTGCCCTGATGCCCGAAGGAAGGCCGCAATTGTGCGAGCGCTGCAGAGCCTACCAACCCCGGGCTTGCACCACCAGCGCGAGGAGGCCAATGCCTCCTGAAACTCCTCGCCCAGCTCCGACAGGGCGCCGATGCCCGGTGCCTGCCAGGCAGTGAGCGACCCGCAGCGCGAGGCAGACCGGCTAATTGCAGGAGGCCTGCGCCATTCCGCTGACCCCCCGATGAGGACGGGCATGTGCTGATGGGCCTGTTTTCCACCACTACCAGCATGAGTTGGAGGGGAAGGGGGTCCTCCTCCTCCCCCTCCTCCTCCCCCTCCTCCTCCTCCTCCTCCCCCTCCTCCTCCTCCTCTTCTTCCTCCTCCTCCTCCTCCTCCTCCTCCTCCTCCTCGTCCCCCTCCCTCTCCTCTCCTCCTCCTCCTCCTCCTCCTCCTCCTCCTCCTCCTCCTGCTCCTCCTCCTCCTTCTCCCCCTCCCCCCCTCCAACTTGTGGTGGTGGTGGTGGAATACAGGCCCATCATGTGCGGCTTCCGATGTCGCTCATGTTGTCTGCCGCGTCCCGTCGTGCCTGCCTTCTGGGGGGGCAACTTTGGTGGCCTCGGGGGGCCCCCCCCCCGGAGCCTTCTTCGGGGCCCCTGGCGTGGGCGCTGTGGGGGGGCCCTCCGAGGGCGTCTTTGGCGGCCTCTTGTGGGCAGCTTGGGGGCATGCTGGGCTCAAGTCGGGCCTGCCCCTCTGCACGAGGAATATTCAAAAGTAGTCCAAAAGTAGCCTGGGGACGATTTCTTGTGTATTTTTGATGGCCATGTTGTATCTGTGTTGCATTTTGGTGTATTTTTTTTCTCACTAGTTTGTATGCGCTTCGTCCAGAATCCCCCTGCAGGCGGACAGGCGCGACTGAATGCTGGGCGTCTTCGGGGCCATGCGCGGGGGCAGGGCCCCCCGGGGGCCGCCTGCCACCTGAGCGCTCGAGGACGCGCGCGGGCCGACGCGGTGCATCCTCGAACGCGCAGGCCAGCGTTTGCGTTTCAGCTGCGGCCGCATGTCCTTTTGCCCTGCATGTACAATTCGAGCAACTTCGCCATCGCCTCGAACGACCAACTGCGAGCTCCTCCCTGCGGGGGGCCTCTCCGGCCTCCTGGGCAGCCTCTGGGGCCCGCTCTCCGGGGGCCCCCTCCGGGCCAGGCTGGGAGGCCTCTCGGGCCGCCCGTGGGGGCTCAGGGCACCGCGGTGGCGACCGCCATCGAGGACGCCCACGGCGAAATGCCGCCGCCTCCTGCCTTGTGGAGTCGCCGATGCGGCCGAGCGTTGTGGCAAGCGCTCCGCCACGCTATCGGACCACGCGTTCCCCCAGCCGTTGTGGAAGCCCGTCGGGCAACACTTTGGGGAGAGGGCGGGGAAGATCAGGAGGAGGAGGGGGGGAGCAGGCGCAGCAGGAGGAGGAGGAGGAGGCTTCTTGGGAGCCTCGGGCTCTCTTGGGGTCTCCTGGGAGCTTCCTGGGAGCCTCGGGCATTTTGGGGCCTCCTTGGCCCGTCTGACGCCGTCGGGAGCCGTCTTGAGGGCCTCTCTTGGCCAACTTGGGGCCCTCTCGAGGTGCTCAAGGCCCTCTTGGAGGCCATTATGGGCGGAGGCCGGTTGTCTTGGCCCGTGTTGGGGCCATCCTGGAGTCCTTTTGGGCGATCTTGGGGCGATTTTTTGGGGCTCTTGGGCCGTCTCGGGCCGTTGGAAGGCCGACAGGAAGCACATGCCAAATTCCTATAACAACGAAAGGAAATGCAACGATTTTAGTCTCTTAGGCCGTCTTGGGCTATCTTGGAGCCATCTTGGGCCGTCTTGGTGGGCTCCTGGCATGTCTGACGCCGTTGGGAGCCTCCTTGGGTGCCTCTCTGGGCCGACTTGGGGCTCTCTTGGGGTGCTGCAGGGCCTTCTTAGATGCCACTTTGGGCGTCTTGGAGGCCTCTTTGCTGGGAAGTTTGTAGTTTTACATATATATGTGATTATAGAGAATATAATCAGACTGTCCTGGAGGATCCAGGAAATCCTGCAGCCCTTTGTTGCTCGAGGAAAAGAGCGACCCTCACCTCCCCCCTTTCTCCGCGAGGGGGGTGGGTGCGCGTGCATGGTAGCGGAGCTCGCTTGAGGTTCGCGGGCCGCTCCGCACCCCAGCGAGCTCCAGGAGCCCCTCGAGAGGGCCCAGCGGCGCGACGCCGCGGGTCCGGCAGCCAGCGGGACGATCCACGCGGCTGCCGAACGAAGTACCCCTTGCTGGTCAGAGCTGCGGTCAGACCCGCGCTCTGACAGCGGAGGCCAGCCAGCCAACAAGGGCAAGGGCAAGGCCACGCTGAAGGCCAAGAAGCCGAATAAGCGAGGAGGCAGAGCGGCGGACACGCGTGAGCACCGCCAGCTCCGAGGGACCGCCTTTAGGAAGCTTGCGGCGTGCGGCAGCAAGGCGAAGCTCACTCAGGAGGAGCGAGCAGCAGTGAAGAGGCAGCTGGCGAGCGACATCGAGAGGCTGGAGAAGCGTGTCGTTGACGTGCTCGACGCCGACCAAGATGGAGCAGCAGCTGCAGCAACTGGTCGATCAAGTTCAGAGACTGACGACGGAGAGTCAGAACATGAGGCAGGAGCTTCAGAACAGGGACGTGCAGATCGCAGAGATGAGAGGACAACTGCAGGGTCAGCAGCAGGCTCAGCAGCAGGCTCAGCAGCAGCGGGTAGCCCCGCGCGGCGAGATGATGGATCCGAAGATCCTTCACAAGGTGAAGCCGTTCGACGGCCAAAGGTCAAGCTGGAAGACGTTCAGCTTCCAGTACAGAGCGTACCTGATCGCCCAGGATCGGAGGTACCGAGATCTTCTGGAAAGGTGCGAGGACGGAGCCCAGGAGGTGGACAACGTCAACCTGGACCCGCAGGAGGAAGAACTCAGCACGCAGTTGTACTACGGCCTGGTCCTGGCCATGCCCGAGGACTCGGTGGGCGAGCTGATCGTGAGGAACAGCCCAGTAGGAGAAGGAGCCGAGTGTTGGAGGAAGCTTCAGAAGGAGTACAACCCGAGCGAGGCAGGCAACGTACTGGCGATGTGGACCAAGCTCACGGACACGAAGTTCGACGCCAAGGAAGACGTGATGGTGAGCATCAGCAAGCTGGACGAGGACATGGCGAGGTACCAGAAGATGGCAGGAGAGCCCGTCTCGGACCTGATCAAGCGCGGCATCCTCACAAAGGCGCTGAAGGATCACGACGAGCTCCAGAAGCACGTGTTTCGGAACAGCAGTCGGTTAAGTACGTACGAGCTTCTGAGAGCCGAGGTGGTGTCGGCGTTGGCGGCAGAGCGAGCGGTCCAGGACGACCCGATGGAGATCGGAGCGCTGAAGGGCGGAAAGAGACCGTGGAAAGGCCGCGGCAAAGGGAAAGACGGCAAAGGCAAGGAGAAGCCACCGAATCCCGACGCCGAGATCGAGTGCCACTACTGCCACAAGAAGGGTCACCGCAGCGCAAACTGCCGAAAGCGGATCGCCGACGAGAAGAAGACACCCGAGAAGGACAAGAAGGACAAGAAGCAGTTCCGAAAAGAGAAGGCAAAAGAAAAGAAGAAGATCGGGGCAGCGGCAGTCAGGGAGCTCGAAAGGTTACGACAGACAGGAGTGGGCACAGGATCAAGCTCGACAGCACCGACACAACAGATGCTAGGAAGTCAGGGAAGCGCCGACAGCGCGATGACTCAGCAGGTGCTGCGCCCAGTCAACTGTGCGCTGCGAGCGAAGATGATTCTGGCCCTGAGGGCAGAGGTCACAAGAAGCGCAGCCACACGATCGACTGGAAGTACTGCTTGCCTAGCTACTACCAATATGTATGCTGCTCTTGCAAGAAGACCTTTGAAGGATGGCGATGGCACTACGATCAGTGGAAGTTGGACTACTGTGCCGTGTGTGCCGAGTACTGCCTGGACGGCCTCAAGGACGGGGAAGAGCCAGACGACGACAAGAAGCCAAAGAAGCGCAAGAAAGGCTAGATTCGTCGCTGACGACCGTCAGTGCTGCGATATGCCAGCTGCGGTGAGCCCCGCGCTGGCCGGCCCCAGGCCTGTTACCATCGCTGGTCTTCGGCCCGTGGATGAAGATCAGAGCCCTGCGGATGACCGATTGCGGTTAGCCCCGCTTCGGAATGCGATCATGCTCGATTCAGGTGCGCAGATCAGTGCGATACCGAGGTCACAGGTGACCAAGCACAACTACACGCCGACGGACAGCAACGTTGTCGGCTTGAAGGGCATAGGAGGCGAGGAGATCGAGAGGTACGGCCACGTGGAGCTGAACCTATCCCGAGGAGGAGAGGTTATTCAAGTCGGTGCTGAGGTTGCCGATGTGGAGTACCCAGTTGTGGCTACAGACGCTGTAGTACAACGTGGTCAGAGTGTTCTTCATAGCCCTGCAGGTCACTGGATCATCAACGGTACCATCGAGCCACCTGACGGAGCTGAGTTCGTACCTCTACGTCGTCACCAAGGCAACTACTACTTAGAGTACGATCACATCATCGACGGCCAGACTCAACCAGAAGCTTCAAAGGTAGCTGCGGTACGAAAGACACTACCAAGGAAGGTACCAGCTGAACAGGAAGCTGGAGCTTTGCCGAAGGTTCTAGGTCCCGAAGCTGATGAGACCACAA